TGAGGAGTTGTATTTGATTCAAAAATAGTTTGAAAGAAAAAACCTTCCTGAATTTTCAAGCCCTCTCATATTTTTAGTTATTTGATTTTTATCTATAGTTCAAAAACTGATAACAATTGGTTAATTATAATGTTTTAATATAAGTGAGGCTTCATGGATTATTCAAGAATATCCATGCGCGAAAAAAATGATCTGGTTGATAGCATGATGAAATTTGTTATCCAACAAGATGTAAAGCGAAAATTCTTCATCGGAAACACAATTTAAACAAACAAAACCTATAAAAAAATGAACAAGCCAAAACAGCTTGACCTTAAAAATAAATCAGTGCAGGTTCTTTTCGAGAAAAACTGATGCTGAACGCTCTTCGAGAGTTCCAAAGTATTACAAAATGGCAACAATTTTTACATTTTATTCGCCCAAAAGAAAGGTTTTGAAATTGCATGGAGAAAAAACATTTTGGACCGTGACGGTTTCGCGTCTTTTCAAAATTGTTAAAAGAAAATTTTGAGAAATCGAAAATCTCTAAAAAATTGGGCACAAATAAAAACTTCAGTTGACTGGGTTAATTTCTGATATTTAATTATGCTAGAGGACCTTAAAAGAGGCCCCTTAAACCCTGCCAGAAAACAGAAAAATAAACATTACGACTGCCTTTTGGTAAAATTTGTCTGAAAGGTCAGAGAAACTTATGTTTATTTAACTTTTATGTTTATTCAATTTATCTCTTCAGTAAAAAACTTCAAAAAATTGGTTAATTTTAGTTTTTCTAATTATAGTGAGGCTTCAAGGATTATTCAAGAATAACAATTTTAAAAGAATATTTAATCTTTGATCGAATAGCTTTTGAAACTTCGGATACCATTTTTTCTCGATAACACATTTAGCGAGGTCTTTACAAAAATTTTAAAGAACTACTCTACAAACAAATTTATTAAAAGACTTAATATAATAATTTGTTGACCTTTTTAAGGGTAATTTTGAATTTAAATTGTTATTTCATTTTTAGTAATTTTAGTTTTCAGTTAAGGGTAAATTTCAATTGGTAATTTTAGTTGTTTGATCACTTCCAGCTGGTTCATATACAGATCGTGTATAGCTAAGAAAGTTGAATAGCCGAACTTATAAAACAATACTTGTAAGAATAATTCAAACTTTTTGCAAAAAATTTGTCCAAATTAAGTTTCTTAGTTAAAATTTTGTTGGAACTTAAAAAAGTTGATTTATTGAGAAAAAAGTGAAATTTTATAATAAAAATTGGAATTAAATTTTTATGAAATCAAACTTTCGGCAGTAACCTCTATAACCCTGTCATGAGAATACCAAAAAACCTGTAACACAAAAATGGTTAGGCCCTGGTTCGTGTAATTTAGTTCAACTTGCGCTCGAAAAACAACAAGTTTTTCGGTTATACTACCTTATGTAATTGATATTTTTTAGATGAAGAAGAGGGCTCAAAAATGGTCCTGTAAAACAGAAGGATAATTTTGATCAGTAGTTGAAAAAACGCCCATTCCACAAGCGCCTGAAGAGGAAAAATCAAGCAATTACAATCAACCAAATTTTTATCTTTACTATCAAAATTTTATCACGTTTAAAGTTTTTAAAACCAGCTACATTTTACTTGGAGCAACTTTTTGGTATATTTTGTTTATAGTTTGTTTTAATTGCTTGCAAATGAACTTAAACTGAATGTAGATGACGTCTGTCAATTTTCGCAAGTCTCCTGTGATTTTAAATCAAAATGGATTATTCATTAAGCTCATGTATCAAAATGGAAAACTGAATTTCCTGTAGTTTGATACACATTAACAAACAGCATTCGAAGGTTAGAGAAGCGCGGAAAATTTTGGACAAAGACATGGTGTTAAGAGAACTTAAATTCATTCCAAGATAGTTTTCCGTACGACATTTAGCTTGAATTTTTCTAAAGTTTGTCGTACGGAAATTATCTTGGGATTCAATTATTTTCTCTTAGTTTATGTCTTCATCTTTAAATTTAATTCTAACTTATCAGAAAAAAATCTACGGAAGAAACCGTATTTTGATCAAATAAACTAAATTTTAGGTTTATTTCTGTCAATTGATATCATTTTCAAATCACTGAGCGTTTATAAAAAAAACTGGGTGATTTGGTGTTTTTAACAGTTTTTTTCTTTACAAGCATCTAGAATCAATTTTGTAACATTATTTTAAGAATCTAATCAAAAGCACAGAATTTTTTCTATTTTTTATGAAGTTGACAATTTTTAAATCAGGAAAAAAGCAACCATCTAAATTTAAAAAAAAAAATCAAAATCGAACAAGACTGCTCGTATCAGGGCGAAGCCCTGAATGTTCCGACTGCCTTTTAAGGTTCATGGAGCAGTAATAAACCTAAAAATTCAATGAAACAAGACAAAATGAAAAAAAAAATTCTGAAATTTGAATTTTTTATGAAAACCATCCCCCCACACGCCAATATAAAGTACAAAAAGATAGATTTCGCTCCTTGTAAGAAACCAATTATGGCAAATAAGCTTCTTTCCACCAATTTGGAACGATTTCTAAGACGGAATAACTCTCCCCTTACGCGTTAATAGCGCGAAATATATCACGCGTTAATTGTCCCGAATTGGCCAAAATGGCAATATTTAAACCCCCGTAACTCTACGAAAAATGATCACAGGTGAAATATCTTTTCAAATTTGAGCTCAGGACAACAATACCTTTCGAATGATATAAAAAGATTCCGTCAAAAATGCCTAGTTAAAAAGTCGAAATTTGTCTGAAGAAAAAAAACCCACCCCGAGCACAAATATTCCGTTACTTTCGTATCGAAAGTCGGAACAATAAGGCAGTGGTAACAGTCGAATTTTTGTCTTGATACAAACACTCATGTTATTTTCCAATAACAATCGAGGCTGCTTTATGAAAACAATCTACTCCCAGACCAACTGTAGTAGGGTCTACATAATAGTCTCCCCAACCCCCACCCTTTTTGAAGAAAGGGGTTGAAATTATTACGAAGGTTAGGTTAGCCGAAGTTTAGACCAACCAGAATGCAGCAAAAGTGGAACTAACAATACAAAATATGTACTAAATTCTTGTATTTGTTCATAGGGGTGGAGATTTTTAAGTAGATACCATAGGGGGAGATTGTTAAGTAGATTGTTAAATAGGGATTGTTAAGATTGCATTCTTACTGTACTACTAAAATTGTCTTGATTTCTCCCCTAAAATGCCGCAATGGATAGGGGTTGTACTTTCGGTGCATAATGGTATTATCCGACTAGAATCCGTTATCGGTTGCAATAGTTTGAGAAGAGCAAGGTCGTTTTTGAAATATCCGTGGTTCATTTCAAAACTAAAAGCAGAAGAGAAAAAATAAGATGGTACTGTAAATGTAGGAAAAATCCGATAACAATGTCTCTTAAATTTCAAACAACTCTTAAATTTTGAATATCCAATTATTATTTCCCTGTGATCAAAATATCTGAACAGAGGGAGCAAAATATTTTTTTTTGTGTCGGTAAAGGAAAAATATAAGGAAAGCAAATTTACCTGGGTAATAAGGGTAGGCAAAGGTACGTTTCGAACGCACATTAAAAATTGTTTTTTTTTGCAACATTTTCTCAAAATTATCCACACCACCTTGAATGAAAAAAAACTTAAACTTTTTATTTTTGTTAATGTCATCTAAAAAACAAGTGATAGGAAAACCAATATCTTCCTCAACTCAACCGAATTTGGAAACTATGTAATATTTTTGTTCTATAACATAGTTTTCCACATCACAAGTATTTTAAAATTTTTGAGCAAAAAGCAGTAGATTGCATAGGAAGAAGAAGAGGTAACCAAACAACTTTCTCAAAATTTAGAGAAAAACGCATAGCAACCAAAGACATCGAGTTATCACTGTTTTTTTTGGCGAAAAAATTATTGTATATTCGAAGTTCTAGAAAATGATTGAACAAAAAATCTCGGTGCTATAAAAACCAGCCGAATTTTGAGCCAGTGAAAAGTACGTAATTGTTAAATAGTGCTTATGTAAAATTATGTAACAGTTACGAAAGTCTTTCTAATTTTATGGATATGACTTTTTAACTGGTTTTTATACTGTGCGCATTATCGGCCAGTTTAAACTTCGGCTGGTTTTTTCACACTCTAAATGTCTCACCTGTCAGGTATGAATTTGTTTTGAACCCTGCTAAGGCGATATGTTGAATGTGATGGAGGCCACAACTGCACAACTGCTTCCGCCATTACGTAAATGTCTTGCACTGAAACTAGCAAGTTTTTTGCTCGAAATTACAAAAATTTTGATCTTGTTAGCTACCCACCTATTGCAATGAGAGTTAGGGAAGAATTATGAAATTAATATTATTTATCCACGACAGTAAGGACCAACATACGAGCTCTACAGCTCATCACGGCGAACCGCTGTTGTGTCCCTGCTTAATTGGCCAAAATGGCAATATTTAAACCCCCGTAACTCTACGAAAAATGATCACAGGTGAAATATCTTTTCAAATTTGAGCTCAGGACAACAATACCTTTCGAATGATATAAAAAGATTCCGTCAAAAATGCCTAGTTAAAAAGTCGAAATTTGTCTGAAGAAAAAAAACCCACCCCGAGCACAAATATTCCGTTACTTTCGTATCGAAAGTCGGAACAATAAGGCAGTGGTAACAGTCGAATTTTTGTCTTGATACAAACACTCATGTTATTTTCCAATAACAATCGAGGCTGCTTTATGAAAACAATCTACTCCCAGACCAACTGTAGTAGGGTCTACATAATAGTCTCCCCAACCCCCACCCTTTTTGAAGAAAGGGGTTGAAATTATTACGAAGGTTAGGTTAGCCGAAGTTTAGACCAACCAGAATGCAGCAAAAGTGGAACTAACAATACAAAATATGTACTAAATTCTTGTATTTGTTCATAGGGGTGGAGATTTTTAAGTAGATACCATAGGGGGAGATTGTTAAGTAGATTGTTAAATAGGGATTGTTAAGATTGCATTCTTACTGTACTACTAAAATTGTCTTGATTTCTCCCCTAAAATGCCGCAATGGATAGGGGTTGTACTTTCGGTGCATAATGGTATTATCCGACTAGAATCCGTTATCGGTTGCAATAGTTTGAGAAGAGCAAGGTCGTTTTTGAAATATCCGTGGTTCATTTCAAAACTAAAAGCAGAAGAGAAAAAATAAGATGGTACTGTAAATGTAGGAAAAATCCGATAACAATGTCTCTTAAATTTCAAACAACTCTTAAATTTTGAATATCCAATTATTATTTCCCTGTGATCAAAATATCTGAACAGAGGGAGCAAAATATTTTTTTTTGTGTCGGTAAAGGAAAAATATAAGGAAAGCAAATTTACCTGGGTAATAAGGGTAGGCAAAGGTACGTTTCGAACGCACATTAAAAATTGTTTTTTTTTGCAACATTTTCTCAAAATTATCCACACCACCTTGAATGAAAAAAAACTTAAACTTTTTATTTTTGTTAATGTCATCTAAAAAACAAGTGATAGGAAAACCAATATCTTCCTCAACTCAACCGAATTTGGAAACTATGTAATATTTTTGTTCTATAACATAGTTTTCCACATCACAAGTATTTTAAAATTTTTGAGCAAAAAGCAGTAGATTGCATAGGAAGAAGAAGAGGTAACCAAACAACTTTCTCAAAATTTAGAGAAAAACGCATAGCAACCAAAGACATCGAGTTATCACTGTTTTTTTTGGCGAAAAAATTATTGTATATTCGAAGTTCTAGAAAATGATTGAACAAAAAATCTCGGTGCTATAAAAACCAGCCGAATTTTGAGCCAGTGAAAAGTACGTAATTGTTAAATAGTGCTTATGTAAAATTATGTAACAGTTACGAAAGTCTTTCTAATTTTATGGATATGACTTTTTAACTGGTTTTTATACTGTGCGCATTATCGGCCAGTTTAAACTTCGGCTGGTTTTTTCACACTCTAAATGTCTCACCTGTCAGGTATGAATTTGTTTTGAACCCTGCTAAGGCGATATGTTGAATGTGATGGAGGCCACAACTGCACAACTGCTTCCGCCATTACGTAAATGTCTTGCACTGAAACTAGCAAGTTTTTTGCTCGAAATTACAAAAATTTTGATCTTGTTAGCTACCCACCTATTGCAATGAGAGTTAGGGAAGAATTATGAAATTAATATTATTTATCCACGACAGTAAGGACCAACATACGAGCTCTACAGCTCATCACGGCGAACCGCTGTTGTGTCCCTGCTTAAGACCTACATGCAATTTTTTTTGGTTACTTTTCTGGGCTGGTAATATTGCCTCACCCGCAAGCAACGAGCACCCGCAAGCATCGAGCACACGCAAGCAACGAGCACCCGCAAGCAACGAGCACCCGCAAGCAACGAGCACCCGCAAGCACCCATAGATCGAACAGGTTTGAATCAAGAGTCCAAAAATGCCAAAATGTGGGTCGAATAAGATTAAATTTTTTTTAAAAATTAACAATAAACTATTTGTCAAAAGTTTTATACCTAAGCATTTACCTTCGTCAGGGTGTAGCATTGAGCGACACTCACTTTCGAAGTCTTTTTTATATAAAAACCATAAGTTTTAGTCGGATCCTTTCAAAACTTTATGCAAGAAGTCTTGCATAAAAAAAAACATTTTTTTAAATGGTTTCAAAATTTAGTTTGTTGGATGACATATTACTTAACATTTTCAGTCAAGAATTCATGCAAAATTAATATTCTATGTCAGAAAAAAATGTTATAGATAAAACGAAATCCCATTCCAAGAGACATTATAGTTTTTGCGATCAAAGCTCACTAATATATTTTGTTTTGAACTGCAAACAAAAGTTTTAATTGTTGGAAAAATGTTATATCAATTCATAGTATGTCAACTAAATCAGTTCGGACTAATATTCAGTCGTTAAAAACAACGCAGTTAAACCTTTTCGTTACTCTAGGGGAATTAATTGTTCCGACTTTCGATACGAAAGTGAAGGAAAATTTGTGCTCGGGTGGGTTTTTTTTCTTCAGATAAATTTCGGCTTTTTGACGGAATTTTTTTATATCATTTGAAAGGTATTGTTGTCTTGAGCTTAAATTTGAAAAGATATTTCACCTGTGATCATTTTCAGTAAAGTTACGAGGGTTTAAAAATTGCCATTTTGGCCAAATTGGGACAATTAACGCGCGATATATTTCGCGCTATTAATGCGTAAGCGGAGAGTTAATCAGTCTTAGAAATCGTTCCAAATTGGTTAAAAGAAGCTTATTTGCCATAATTGATTTGTTACAAGGAGCGAAATCTATCCTTTTGTACTTTAAATGGCGTGTGGGGGATGATTTTCATTAAAAAAGTTCAAATTTTAGAAAAAAGGTTTTTTTTTCATCTTGTTTTTTTTTCATTGAATTTTTAATATTTATTACTGCTCCATAAACCTTAAAAGGCAGTCGGAACATTCAGGGCTTCGCCCTGATACGAGCAGTCTTGTTATATTTTGTCTGATAGGAGCTGCATGGTGGTGGATGTTGCTGATAAGTATAAAAACAATCCACAAAATGAAACAGAAATTGAGAGTGATTCATTGGAGTTTAAAAACTTAAGTTTTCCTCAAAACTTTGTTGAACAAATAATTTCTATGAAAAAATTTTTGCACGTTTTAATTTTTAAAACTAGCATTATCAATTCATGAAGCTCAGTTCGAGTTATCGGCTGTGGGGGCTAGAAAAGTTGGTAGTTTATGATCGAGCCTATTTATAAACCAGGTACCATGAAAAGCAGCCAAAAAAAAACGTAATTATTTTATAATTATTATGCAACACTTGCGAAAGTCGTGCAATTTTACACGAAGTAATTTTTTGACTGACCCTCATACTTTGTGTGTTTTCGGTTGGTTTAAATTTTGGCTGGTTTATTTACACTAAAAAATTTTGCTACACCAGGTCATTGTTTTTCTATGATGGGGATTATTTCGTGTTTTCACGATAACTATACATCTTTACCAGGATAACTTATCAAGCTTAAATTCACTAAAAGCACACATATACACTGTTGCGCAGGATTTTTTGTTTCTTAATAGAAAAATAAAATAACTGAGGATAAATTGTTGCGAGAAAATGTTCAGATAATTGCAAACATTTCTTTCGACAGAAATCATTATTTTCTTAAGGCCACTAGGACAAAAAATTGTAAAACAATCCCAAAATGTCATTAATGCCTTATGCATCATGACAACCATTTTCAGTTAATGTAGTTGAGCCCGACATCGCAGATGCGTGGGCTAAAACTATGACAGGACCAATTTGGTTATTTTGTGAAAATAAAATGTGTTCTGCTACAAAATGAAACCAGTTTTGCCGACGAAACAGCCAAAAGACTATTTTCTGATCGTTTTGCTAACCTGGGGTAATCAGAACACAATGTGCCGCTGTAATTACCCAAAAAGGGGCTATTATAGCTGCTCCACAATTCGTTTGCAAAAATGCAGTATATATGCTGACAAAAAATGGTCGTCCCACAGGTGTGTTAAAACCATTCACGATAAGCTCAGTTTCTTCATGAAGGAAACCAAAAGAGGTTCGTTTTTGTTCGGTAACCCGTGTTTCAATTTCTTTTGAAAACAAAACAATTACTACAAAACTGATAAAACTAGTCAAGATATAATGCATTCTTGAAATTTGATATCCTGATATTTAAGAACTGCAAATTTGCTCTTGTGTGTTTATCTAAGAAAAAGCAAATTTAATGTTAAACGACTATGAAATTTGTTTTGAAGCTGAAACCATATTATTTCTTTCCTAAATTATTTTTGAGGGTTGTCGCATTTATTGTTTTACACTTGCTTTTTGATTTTTTCAAGTTTATTTTACGTATTTAAGATGCTTTTGTTGATAAAAAATTTAGGTGTTTTTATGATTTTCAAAGTTAGCTTCTTTGGTTAAAAAAAAATTGGGAAAACTGAGCAGCAATGATGACCAATTATTGAGCAAATGTCACAGGTTTTTCTGAATGTAATATTTTGCAAAAAATGAAGAAAACACAATTAAAACATAAATTTTGAAATGGTTATTGCGCTGAACTTAATCTGCATTTTTATGTTATATTTATGTTATATTTTAATAAGTCTTTTCAACGATGTAAGGTAAAGATGAATCTTTTTGAATGAATGTTTTAAATGAACAGACAGTTCAATCTACTCACAACTGAGGTTTTCAAACCGATGATCCGTGGCAATTTGTTTTCTTTTTAAAAAGGGCTAGTTTTTGATATTATTTTCGCCATAAAGCGTTCAAAAGCCGTATTTACTGTTTTCTTTGCCCTGCAGTTCATTGAAACTTAGAACTCTATTTTAACGAATTTTAAGTCATCATGTAAACTGCCTGCAAAACGCTTCAAACACTTTTCATAGATCTCTTGTGAAGTTCGAAAAGGCTCTCAATTAATTTTCCGAAACTAAACTTTCCACCTAATTAGAAAATCATTTTTTCTAGAAAAGTTACCATCAAAATTATGATTAATATAAGCAATTTCAGATGTCATTTGGAAAAAAAATCTGCACCTGCTTAGCTGCTGTGTTTTCTTAAAATAATGCAAAAATCCTCAACTGCTGGTTGCCCTAGCATCAAAGGAAAACGTCTTTTTGCGTTTTCCTGTTATAGGGCATTAGCAGAAAATTTCGTCATTGGTTGTTAGATTTTTTTTGGTATTTCTTCATACCTCGACTTAGCTGAACAAGTAGTAAGCGTAACTACAATTTCATTGACTTTGTCTTGAAGCTAGTTTCGATAGGACAGAAACAAAACCAGAAGTGTCGACCGTATCCTTCCTCTTTCCTGAGCGAAGAAGCGAAGACAGTTTTGATAAACACTAGCCCTTCAGGTCGATTTCAAAACTTGTTGATTTTAAAACAGCGACAAGATGGTAAAAAAACAATAAAAACTGATCACGTTTTTAGATATTGCATTTTAGGCGGCAAAAAAAACTATAGATTTTTTTCCAGACGAGAAGCTCAAGTTGTCTGCGGTTGTCATATTTTTTGCGGAGAGTTTTCCGAACTATAAAATAGACTTCTTAGAAAGATCTTACTCAAGGTGTTTCACATACACCGTTTTTCAGAGAGTTTGAGTCAATTGAGCGCGTGAACTGATTAAACCAGTCAAACAAACTGTCGTTATTTTTGCACTGAAGTTGCATGGCCGAATTGAATTTGGATTTGCTGTGGTAACAGCAAAATTGCCCTGCAAAGTCTATTCTAATGTTTATTCTTTTTCTCTATTCTTCTATTTATCAATTCCATGCAAATATGCAACGATTTGTTTTTTTTTTCATTTCTCTACTGAGGCCAATTGTCACCCTGTTTTTATTCTTAGTAAATTGAGATTAAAATTATTCTTATGCTCAAAAAAAATTCAGCCTTAAGCGTAAGATTTTCTTTACCGAACAAGATTTTTACTATCGATGTGACTTGAAAAATTTTTGGAAAAAACTTAAACTTCCTATCTCAACAGAATCTTCACGTTTATCTAGTGAAAACTTTATGAAGTACTATGATTTTTTGGTTTTCTTTTATAACATGCTTCAATTTTTGAGTTTCTGCTCACTGGAGTGTAGTATCTCATATTTTTATGAGGTCTCTGAAGCTTGCTCTGAATGTTACTACTAAAAATACTTCTAAAGTTTGCTACTAAAGTTGTCACTTTCCAATTGACGAGGAAAGTTCTGTAACCGAGAGTATTTTGGATGTCGTTGTTCGGAGGGCGATATTCCTTTAGAGGGCTCAGAAGACAAAGAAAGAAGTTTGGGCAGAGGCCTTCAATTCAAATCAAGCTGATCTTTCTCGCGGATATCTCTCGAGTGAGTTTATAATTTGTATGAATCAAAAGTATATGTTACTGTTTACACTCATCTTTTTTTAACAAAGTTATCAGTAAAAATTGGTCACTCTTTTTTCATCATCAAAACTTTTTCGGAATTTATTATTTGAGTTCCAATATTTTCTCCTGCTGTTTCTTTCTTAATAATGTTTGCTAGTACACTCTATCACATCCTTTTGTTGTGTCACAGAAAAACAGTCCGTGGCCAGATAGGGACTAAAACTAGTTTGGTTAGGTCAAATAAAAAATCACAACCTTAAATGGAGTTTAGGGATGTGATACTACCATCCTTGAAAAATTTGCCACGGCTTCGAAAATTGCCAGCGCTCTGCTTTTCTCTTGGTAGAATATTTGGGGTTACAGTTTTGATTCCCTTAAGTTCTACACACAGTCCGTTGGTCAGATTTAGAAGCATCCCTGTTGATATATGATGTCTGTGCAGTGAAAACGTGAGCTCTCACGTTATTGAGTTCCATTGTCATCTCTAGTTTCATTCGATTCGCGTCGTTCAGTGTTTCTTGAAATAGAGCTGTGGAGTCCACTGAATCCAGAGTTGTATCTTCAGCCAGTGGAGATGTCGAAAGTGAGAAGGTTCCAATTTCTCCTTTTTGCGTTTGTGGTAAACCCAAATTAAAAGTGCATGGAGCACCATTGAGCTGATGAAGGAAATTATATTCATAATCAGTGAGTATTTCAAGGTAAGCCGGTCATCAAAGACTCTTGTTGCTAACGAAGGTAGAAATTTCCTCATATTCGGCGCTAACGGTTTTTCTATTTTCCTCCTCTTTTCTTGATTTTGAACATCAAAAATTTCGAATACTTTCTTCTTTACTTCCTTGAATAATACGATCTCTGCGACCGTTTTGGAGTCGTAGAATGGCGTGTCCTCCAATTCGGGCAATTCGCTTAGCAAGTTTGATATCGGGTGTGGAAATCGGACATTCATCTTGGTTGCTGGGAACTGTTCACATGTTGCTAAATCAGATTGAATTTTTGTGTTGGGCTCTTCTAAATGTTTTCCAGATTCCAGTGTTACAATGGAGATTTGGCATCAAGAGAGCTTTTCTACTCCACTGGTGGTTGTTGATTCTATGTCGGATTTGAATAGGTTGGTTGCAGATGTTGCTGATGTGATCAGCTTTTACCCCAAATCCTAGATTTTCAGCTTTATCTGAATCTGTTCAGTGTCGCATACTTTCAGTGTGTTGAGATTCCCTTTGAAGAAAAGAATTGCCTGGAACGATCCGTGTCCTGTCTCAGTAGGGATCATTTTGTGGCAAATCTGATATCTTGAAGATTCAAGGCGGTGTTTCAAGTTTTACTCCATTATTACAGCAATTTCCATATTTTCCTACGATATTGCCAAGTAGGGAGCTTTCGTTTTCCATATAATAGCTTTATCATTCTAGTACTGTGGCATCGGGACTGGAATTGGATGGAAGACCTTAGATGAAATTTGCCATGACGCTAGTGGAATGGCAATCTTCATTAACAAGTCTTCTTTGACACTGACCACGCCCATCAGAATCTGAGAGGAATGGCCGAAGAAAGTCAATCACGGGTTTTTGATTTATTGTTTTGTGCAACTGGTGCTTTGGAGAATATGATGTGTTTCAGAAGAAGCAGTTGTGTTGTGACGGAGAAGTTCATATTTGTTCTCTATTTTTTGAAATTGAGATAAATCATCAGACCGACCAGCTTCAAAGCCACTCACCAGTGCAGGTTTATCCAAGTTCTAATCAGCTTGCGCCGCAATCGATGGCTGTGCAGTCAATTTTACCGGCTTGATAAACAAAACATGCATCTGGTCATGAAATTTGCCTTGCCCTCTTCAATGAGATTCAAAAAATTGGTTAGACACTTAACGGTCTTAAAAAGGAAATCAACATTGAAAAAATTTAGCCCTGGGGCACAGCCTTTTCAGGATCTTTCTCCAAAGAAAATGACCAAGTAGAGGATCCTTTAAATACATCAGAATGTAACTTTCTGAGTTGTCTATTTGTCATTTTGTTGCGTTTGAGTCCCATTTGCAACTGAAGCATATTCTTGCAACTCTCCAAACCCTTCAATATCTTGGGTGCAATGACAAACAACTCTTTTTCACAACAACTTTCACTGCTTTTTCGATCCAGCATACTTTTTTGTCCAACAGCTCGCTCAGTCCCTCTTTTTTTCCTTTTTAGTGACCTCGTTCCAAGACTTCATTCCATGTCATCCAGATTTTTAAGTGCTTCTAACCAAATTCACGTATCTCCTCTTCAGAAATGAGTTGAAAAGAATTAAATCGAACAACTGGGTCCAAACGGTTTTGTCAATATTCGACATTGCACTATAAATATTGATTTTAATAAACTGGAAAAATAAAATAAAAACATGCAAAAGGAAACATGATGCATTAAACATGAATTTATTATGCTGAAAAAAATTACAATTACCTCAATTCTTTAATGGCATCAAAAGTAAATCAGCTATTCCATTTTTTTTCAATCGAAACCACATAACACAATAAGTAAAAACAAAAACATAAAAAATGAACAAAAACAACAACTAATTTTTACGTTGACCTATATCTAAATCTTCTAAGGTTGATCTAGCTCAGGGCACGTCTAAATACTATCCTTCAAAACAAGAAGCGATCTTAAAAGGACACCAAAACAAAACACATGTTAATGCTGAGTACATTTGCAACATCTCCCTCTTTAACCTCTCTCTTCCCATCTCCAATCACTCCCATCCAATCTCTGACACACGCCCCCCCCCCTCACCAATACACACCTCTCCGTCACAACAAAGCGGCCTATTCTTAA